ATGAAAAGCTCAACATGAGCCAGCAGTGTGCGCTTGCAGCACAGAAAGCCAACCATATCCTGGGCTGCATCCCAAGAAGCATGAACAGCGGGTTGAGGGAGGTGATTCTCCACCTCTACTCCACTCTTGCGAGACCCCATCTGGAGTACTGCGTCCACCTCTGGGGCCCCCAAGAGTCCAGAGGAGGGACATGAAGATGATCCGAGGGCTGGAGCACCTCTCCTATGAGGACCAGCTGAGAGAGTCAGGCTTGTTCAGCCTGGAGAAGAAAATGCTCTAGTGAGATCGTATAGCAGCCTTTCAGTACCTAGAAGGGGCCTCCAAGAAAACTGGAGAGGGACTGTTTATCAGGGAGTGTAGTGATAGGATGAGGGATAATGGCCTTAAGCTGAAGAAGGGTAGATTTAGATGAGATGTAAGGAAGAAATTCTTCACTGTGAGGGTGGTGAGGCACTGGAACAGGTTGCCCAGAGAGGTTGTGGAGGCCCCATCCCTGGAAGTGTTCCAGGCCAGGGTGGATGGGGCTTTGGGCAATCTGGTCTAGTGGAGGGGGGTCCTGCCTATGGCAGAGGGGTTGGAGCTAGGTGATCTTTGAAGTCTGTAGAAACAAGCATTCTTACAATAAGCTCCCCTGAAACTAGTAGAGCACAAATCACATTTTTATAAACATGAGTAAGAAACTTTAATCAATTTTTCTTCCTCATCTTCTCAAGTCTGCCAAGTTTTTAAGCTAAGAAATGTCTAACAGTCCTGATATTGCTAGCTGCAGCTAGGAAATCCGACAACAGCCAGAGACTGGTAGGGAAGAAATTCAAGCTTTCTCTGATCTTTTCAAGAGATCCAAACTCTCTGGACCACAAGAAAAAAACCCCATGCAGCAGTGAAAGCAAACAAGAGAAGGGCCAAGACCTGGAGCGAAAAGTATTCCTTCTAAAATAACTATGGCATATGCTTCAAAGAATTAACAAAACTCAGTCCCATACCAAGCTCAATGTTTTGCCCAGACAAATGGATCTTTACTAAATTTTGCCATATGTTCTTTTTCCTCCCAATTGCCAGCACAGCAGGCCTCACTTTTTATTTTAAAATCTACATAATTTAATCAATACTGCACTGATTTTGTTTAGCAAAATAGAATTACTTAATGTAGCTCAAAAATTTTAATAATTGGAGATTCTGATGTATTTATTCTTAAAGAAAAAAAAAGACACTTCCACTTGTGGCATGGATGTGCTGTGCCAGGACTGTTCCAAAATCCTTTGTACCAAGAGACTCTTTCTGTTTCAGATAGCTGGATCCATCTTCTTTATGTAAACTAACTTTCATCAGTACATAAGGAAATTCTTTGTGTTAGAATATTTAAGACATACTATTGTCTTTCTATTTAACTACTTCAAGTAATTAAATTGGTTTAAAAGATTAGTTTATAAAGGTAAGGATAAGACTTTTGGTTTAAACAGAAAACTTTAATTCCACCTAAATCCTTCTGTTCTAGTGAAATATTCAATTATGTTGGAGATTAACAGGAAAAATATAGGCCAAACAGAAAACACTCACTAGATCTTAGGTTTGAGATACATGCTAGATTTGCCATGAAACATTTTTTCGCATATTATTTGAGACATTAACTTTTTACAAGTTTACAGTGATGATCCTATTATATTTTACAACTAACTTTTATTTTCTTATTGCTTCATTAGTTTGTTCGTATCGTAGAATTGTGCAAAAAATAAGAATTTGCAAATAAAAAAAAAACTAATAATGATCCAGTTAGCACTGAAAGAATATAACAATAATTTCGTGGAGAATGGGGGGAGACCAGTAGTTTTCTATGAAAACACAGTATATCTACGGATTTCAAAGAAAAGCAATTCAAAAGAAATCATACTGTCCACACAAAAACAGTGTTCATTCTATGGCAGACTCACCAAATGTCAGTCTTTGTATTCATTTTTTTTCTTGGTCTTATGATGCAGCAGAGTAAAAAGTAGGGTTTTTTAACTCTCAGGACATTTTGGAGCAGTGTGCCACTCCGCTGCACCCATCACATATTGTTAGGCTATGCTTCTTCTCTAATCTAAATTACAAGTGTAGTTCAAGAATTATTTGTTCAAAGATTATTTTTTTTTAAAATAGTATTTAAGCAAG